CCCGAAAAGGCCCCTTTTGACCCCGTTCTGTCGCCCCCCAGGTGCGAAGGAGCCCCCCGGGAGAGGAACCGAGCGCGGCCAAGAGGCTCCTGGTGCTGCTCTTGGCCGTGGTGGGAGCCCAAGTGTACAGCGCGCCGGGGGACGTCCCCCCCGAGGGGACACCGGGGGCACCTCTGGGGACACCGGGGGCACCTCTGGGGACACCCGGGACACCTCTGGGGACACCGGGGGCACCTCTGGGGACACCGGGGACACCTCTGGGGACACCTGGGACACCTCTGGGGACACCTGGAACACCCGAGGGACCCACAATTCCTGCTGGGACATCCCTACCTGGAGCTGGAGCCACTGGGACAACCTGGACACCCAACGGGACTGTGGTGGGGACACCTGAGGTGGCACCTGGGACACCTCTGGGGACACCCGGGACACCTCTGGGGACACCTGAGACACCTCTGGGGACACCTGAGGCACCTCTGGGGACACCTGAGACACCTCTGGGGACACCTGGAACACCTGAGGGACCCACAATTCCTGCTGGGACGTCCCTCTGGACCAACGGGACAACCGGGACACCCAATGGGTGGGGACACCCCTGGGGACACCTGTGGGGACACCTGTGGTGACACCCCCAGGGACACCTTTGGGGACACCCCCGGGGACACTCAGGGGACCCACAATCCCTGCCGGGACGTCCCTGTGGACCGATTGGGAATTAACGGGGTCGTTAATTAGCCCGGGGAGGCCGAAGGGCTCCGTTTTTGGGAGACGCCCCAACGACGAGTCAACGAGACCCAAGGACGGGTTTTGGGGTCGACCCGCCCCAGTCGGGCACTGGGAGCACTGGGGAGGTGGGCGGAGCCGCGGGGTGAGGGGGAGTTCCCCATCCCCTAATTAACGAGGCCGTTAATTAGCCGTTAAGGTCGGAAGACGCCCCAACGACGGGTCTTTGATGCTGCCCCAGGTCGACCAGTTGGTCCCAGTTGGGCACTGGGAGCACTGGGGAGGGCGGGAATTGGGCGGAGCCGCCTCATTCGCCTAATTAAGGAGGTCGCCTCTACCTCATTTGCATAATTAACAAGCCCATCATGGCCTCAAGGAAGGGGGGGGGCTGATTTTGGCGCCCAATGGGTGCCCCTACCTCGGCTTAAGCCCCGCCCCCTCCGGGATCTATTTATTAATTATTTATTAATTAATTATTATTTATTTATTCTATTTAATTGTGTATTGGTTTGGGGTTATTTATTACGGATTTGGGGGGGTATTTATATTAATTTGATAATTTAATAATAATTTAATAATTATTTCACGTGTCGCATCTTTATTGAATTCCCCCCCTCTCCCCCAAAAAATATCAAAATGACCATTTTTTACCCCAATTTTCAGGCTGGGGAAAAGGGAGGGAATTTTTAGCCATTAAATTTTGGGGAGAGATTATAAAGAAATCCCATTTTTGGTGTTTTTTTTTTTTAATCCCTTAATTATTGGGGGAAAATTATAAATAAACCCATTTTTTTGGCCTTTTTAATCCCTTATCTTTTGGGGTGTTTTTTTATGGGGGATAAGTGACAAACAAACCCATTTTTGGCCATTTTTCATCCCGAGTCGGATTTTTATTGACCCGACGTGGAAAATACAAAGTCACAAAAGTAACAAAAAACCCAAAAATTCAATATTTTTCTTAAAAAAAGGCTGAAAACGCTCGATTTTCCTCCCGGTTTTGGGACGAGGGTTTGGGAGAACCGGGAGAACCTCAAGGGTGAGAAAAATCTTTCCTCCAAAACACACATTTGGTGGCACTAATGACCCAAATTTGGGGGGCTTTGCCCAAATTTGGAAGTTTTTTATTCTTTACCCAAATTTGGGGATTTTTTGGCCAAAAACTGGAGGGGGTTTTGCCCAAATTTGGGGATTTTTTTTGCCCAAATTTGTTGGGGTTTTACCTGAATTTGTTTTTTTTTTTCCCTCCTCAAAATTTCAGGTGTTTTTCCCAAATTTGGCAGGTCTTTGCCCAAATTGGGTTGTGCCAATTGGTTTGCCCCCTGGTTGGGCCAAAAACCACCAAGAAGACACAGACAGTAAAAAAAGGAAGAAAAAGGGAATTTTTGCTCCTCGTTCCCACCCACCCCTGAAATAATTTGCCCAAAAAAGCCCCAAACCCAAAAAAACCCCATTTTTGCCTCAATTTTTACCTTTTTTGCCTCGTTTTTAACGCTCCACCTTCGGCTGAATTTGGGGTATTTTGGGTGGGGCTTTCAGACAGTGGGAGGGGCTTGGAAAGGTCGTTAAAAATCGTCTTAATTAACGGGGACTTAATTAAATTTGTCCCGAAAATTGACGGGGGGGGAGGAGCCGCCATCGATGGGTCGATCCCAGTTGGGCACTGGGAGCACTGGGGAGGTGGGCGGAGCCACGGAATGAGGGGCAGTTCCCCATCCCCTAATTAATGAAGTCATTAATTAGCCCAGAAGGTCAAAGGGCTCCAGGTTGGAAGAGGCTCCAACCATGAGTCAACGAGACCCAACGATGAGTCAACGAGACACAAGGTTGGGTCTCTGTGTCCAACCCATCCCAGTTGGGCACTGGGAGCACTGGGGAGGTGGGCGGAGCCACAGAATGAGGGGCAGTTCCCCATCCCCTAATTAATGACGTCATTAATTAGCCCAGAAAGCCAAAGGGTTGGAAAAAGCTCCAACCATGAGTCAACGAGACCCAACGATGAGTCAACGAGACACAAGGTTGGGTCTCTGCGTCCAACCCATCCCAGTTGGGTACTGGGAGCACCGGGAGGTAACTGGGAGCACTGGGAGCACCAGGAGCCTCAGTTGATGAGCGAGGGGGTCTGGGCGCCCGCGGGCGGGGCCGGGGCGAACGACGGGTGGGCGAAGGCGCGGCCGGGGAACGAGAGCGCCCAGGGCAGCTCCAGGGCGGGGCCGGAGAGCGCCGGCACGGGCAGCGCCGAGGGCGACGCCGGGAACGACCCCAGCGAGGCCACCGGGGCCGGGAAGGCGGCGCCGGGGAAGGCCCCGGAGCCCGGAGGCGGCATCTCGGCAGCCACGGTGGTGCTGCCAGCAGCCGCCACCGCCTTGGGCTTGTCCCCGCCGTGGGTTCGCTGGTGCCGGTTGAGGTGGGAGCTGCGGCTGAAGCACTTCCCGCACTCCGAGCACTTGTAGGGCTTCTCGCCGGTGTGCACGCGCTGGTGGATGGTGAGCTCGGAGCGCTGGATGAAGCTCTTGCCGCACTCGGAGCACTGGTAGGGCTTCTCGCCCAGGTGGGTGCGCTGGTGGGTGATGAGGTTGGAGGAGACGCTGAAGCACTTCCCGCACTCGCCGCACTTGTAGGGCTTCTCCCCGGTGTGCATCCGCCGGTGGATGGTGAGGTCGGACTTCTGGATGAAGCCCTTCCCGCACTCCCCGCACTGGTAGGGCTTCTCGCCGGTGTGGATGCGCCGGTGCTTCACCAGCGCCGAGCGCTGCCCGAAGCCCTTCCCGCACTCCCCGCACTTGTAGGGCTTCTCCTCCCCGCACTTGTAGGGCTTCTCCGGCGCCTCCGCCGGCGCCGCGCCGGCACCCGCCTCCCCCCCGCAGTCCGGGCACCGCTGCCCTCGGCAGCCGCGGCTCTTCCCGCAGTCCGGGCACTTCTGGGGCTGCGCCGCCGCGCCCGCGGCGCCGTGGGCGCGCTGGTGCTTGAGCAGGGCGGCGCCCTGGCCGAAGCAACGCCCGCACTGGGCGCACTGGAAGAGGCGGCCGTGCCGGTGGGCGGCCAGGAAGCCGGCGAGGTGCTCGGGGCAGCGGCAGGACGCCCTCTGCGCCGCGTGGATCTTCTGGTGCCGGTCCAGGTGGGAGCTGACGCTGAAGCTCTTGCCGCACTCCCCGCACGTGTAGGGCCGCTCGCCGGTGTGGACGCGCTGGTGCCGCTCCAGGTCGGAGCGCTGGATGAAGCCTTTGCCGCAGTCGCCGCAGGCGAAGGGCCGCTCGCCGGTGTGGATGCGCCGGTGCTGGGTGAGGTTGGAGCCGCGGCTGAAGCTCTTGCCGCAGTCCCCGCACCGGTGGGGCCTCTCCCCGCTGTGCGTCTTGCGGTGCTTGGCCAGGGCCGAGCGCTGGGCGAAGCTCTTCCCGCACTCCCCGCAGCGATGAGGAGGAGCCGCCGCCGGCGCTTCGGGCGGCGCCGGGCGCGGGCGCGGGCGGGGCTGGGAGGGCGGCCCGGGGCCCCCGGCGTGAGTCCGGCGGTGCCGGTCCAGGTGGGAGCTGACGCTGAAGCGCTTCCCGCAGTCCCCGCAGGGGTACGGCCGCTCGCCGGTGTGGACGCGCCGGTGCCGCTCCAGGTCGGAGCGCTGGATGAAGCCTTTGCCGCAGTCGCCGCAGCGGTGCGGCCGCTCCCCGGTGTGGATGCGCCGGTGCTGGGCCAGGTTGGAGCCGCGGCTGAAGCCCTTCCCGCAGTCCCCGCACCGGTGGGGCTTCTCGGGCTGCCGGCAGCGCCGGTGGCACTCGGAGCAGCGCCGGGGCTTGGCCGGGCTCCCGCACTTGGTGCAACCGCCCTGGGGCACCTTCCGGCCTCCCGGGGCTTTGCCGGCGCCGGGGGGGTCGGCGGCGGGTTCCTCATCCTGGTGTTGAGCGGCGTCTTCCAGCGGCGGCTCCTCGTTGTCCCGCGGCGCCGGATCGTCCTCGGTGCCGCTGCCGGCGCCGGCACCTGGGCCGTGGTGGGAAACCGGGAGTTACTTCCCCGTGAAACCCCCCCAGAGTGAAGTTGGAGCCCCCCCAGAGTTGTTTTGGGGCACCTTGAGGGTCATTGATGGCGTCGACCTTGGCCAAGGGCCAGGTGACCCCCAAAGCCCCTTTTCCACCCCAAACTCTTCCATGACACCACGGACTGGTTGACCTTGACCTTGGCCATGGTCCGGTTGACCTTTTTCCACCCAACCCATCCCGAAATCCCACCAGGAACCCACCAAGCCTCCCCCTTTTCCCACGGGATGCTCCCAACCCGCCTCCCCCTTGAAGGTCCTTCCCAAATTTCACCTCCGTCTTTGGGCGCCTTCTTCCGGTTCCGGCGCTTCCCGCCCTGTCCCTGTTCCCTGACGAGCTCCCGGAGCATCTTTTCCACCTGGGTCCTTCCGGCCGTTTGGAGGATGAGCCCCAGCTGCCTCCGGAGGTCGGGATTCACCCCCCCATCGCCGGAGACCCCCGGGGGGGCCACCTGGGTGGGCTCGGGCTGGCCCTGCTCCCCCTCGGCCTCCACGCCTGGAAAAGGCCCCGAAACCTCAGGGATTGGCTCCAATTCCGGCGGGATTCCCCAAAATCCCAAAGGATTTGGCCTAATTCGGGGAGTTTCCCGAAAATCTCAAGGGATTCGGTCAAATTTGGGGGGGGGGGGATTCCCAAAAATCCCGAGGGGTTTGGTCAAGACTGGGGAGGATTCCTGAAAATCTTAGGGAATTCAGATAAATTTGGGGTGGGTTTTTCCCCTCCCAACAACCCGAAGGAATTAAATTAAATTAAATTAAATTAAATCAAATTCCCCCCCCAGATCCCGAACATCCCAAAAAACCTCACGGAATCCAAACCAATTCCTGGGGGGGTTTATCGAGGTGTTCTCCCCAAACCTCCAGAGCTCCCCCAATTTTGGGGGGGGGGGGTTTAATTAACAGGAAAAAAAAAACACAATCAACGGAAAAAAACCCAATATTGTTGTTTTGGGGGGGTTTTATTGGCTTTTGTTGTTTTTTTTTTCCCAAAACCGCCGGAATTGGCCCCGGTTCCCCCCGACTCACCCGACACCAGCCCCCGTCTCCGGTGGGACTCGGCGAAGGCCGTGATCCGGGGCCAGCTGATGGCGATTTCCTCGGCTGCCGGAAAAGCGGGAGCTCAACATTCCCAACTCCCCCTCCCCCCGGATATTTCAGGACTGAACCCCCCCAAATTTGGGACAAATTTGGCTGATTTTTGCCAAATTTTAGGCATTTTTTTGGGGTGCCGAGTTTGTCCCATTTAGGGCCAAATTTCCCCCCCATTTTTTGCCAAATTTGGGTCGTTTTTTAGCCAAATCTTGCCTTATTTCTCGTCAAATTTTGACCATTTTTTATCAAATTGCGCCCCATTTTTGGCCAATTTTTGCCCCATTTTTGCCCAAATTTCATCCCATTTTTGGGCCAAACCTGTCACATTTGGGGCTGATTTCTGCCCCCATTTTGGGACAAATGTGCCCCGTTTTGACCAATTTTTGCCCCATTTTTGGACGAACTTCATCCCATTTTTTTTGACCAAATTCGCCCCTTTTTTTGGCCACATTTTGCCCCCTTTTTGAACCCCAAAATGACCCCCCCGCCCCCAAACCATGCCCTGGGGACCCCCCAAAATCAACACCCTCCCCTCCCAAGTTTTGGGGTGCCCCCCTTACCCAAGGAAATCACGTTCTCGTAGTTCTCCTGCATCGTGACCCCAAATTTTGGGGGGTCCC